GGCAAGGTGAGTGGCCCAAGGTCACAGAGCTGCAAGGTGGCAGGCAGGGTTGGGATTGGAGTGCCGATCTGGAGGACTCCACGTCCAGTGCTCAGGCCCCTGAGGGTCCTCATGGTCTCCTCCCTCTCTCTACCCAACTGCCAGCTCAGGCTTCTAGGCCCTTCTCTTCCCCCCAAAGCTGATTCTCAGTCTTGAGATTGAGTTTTGCCTTGAGATTCCTGGCTCCATCTTCAGCGTGGGCAGAGCCCAGGCCCTGTGAGGAGGCTAAGTGATGGGGACGGGGGAGGAGGGCCCTTCTTCACGGTCTCCCCCCAGGGCAGGGGCTTGGCAGCCACACTGCGCACATTACCCATCTGGATGTACCAGAGAGGGTCCCCCCAGGCCATTCATCCGGGTCCAGACAGAGGAAAGAGTGGCATAAAACAGCCCCTGCCGCTCCACTCTGTGCCGGTCATTTCATCTTTATTTCAACCCTGGGTAGGACATACCCGTCACCAGCAACATCCACAGATGAGCAAACTGAAGCTTGGAGGAGGCACTAGGGAAGTGCGCGCCTAGATCTCGCCACCAGTCTTGGCTCATGCCCCCCACCTTCCCCGCGCGGGGCTGCTCGACGCTGCCCCCCAGTGGCAGAGAGATGAACTGTGGAACAGTGCGGGAGATCCAGGCGCGCAGAGGTCAGACCAAGGAGAAGGCAGACCCTCATGGGCTGGCCTGCGGCTGAGGGAACGGGGACAGAACTCAGGGGGACCTGGCACCCCACCCCCGAATTCCTTCCCCAACCCAGGCAGGACATCTCTGAATCCCAGGTGCAGGCAGAAGGCTCCACGTGAGCTCGGAGACAAGAGTACGGGGTGGCCTTGAAGGCTTCCTGGGAGCAGAGGCCTGGGCTCAGCTTTTAAACCCAGAAGTCTTCGTGTTCTGTCACAGCAGACTCAGTTTCCCCATGTGGCAACCAGAGTGGGTGTCCTGAAATACGGCAAATCTGCTCGTGTCCCTGCCTTCAGAAGATGTCCTGATCCTTTAGCATGGCATTTGAGATCCTTTAAGACCTGGCCCAGTGCACGGGCTCCGGGACCGGAAGGGTCAGGATTTGAAGGGTCATCACTTGTCAGCTGTGTGGCCACTTTCCCAAATTTCCTCCTCCTCACCTGTGACTTGGGGGTGGTGACAGGACCTCCTCCCGGGGGTTTTCAGATTCAATAGCTTAATACGTGTACAGAGCTCAGATCAGTGCCTGGCACAGAATAAGAGTAAATGTGGGGGGAGACGTCATTTCCACTGGCTGTTGGAAAACACAAAGCCTGGGATCCCTCTTCTTACCACTTCCTCCTTCTCAAGTAACACGTCTGCCTTTCGACGGGTCCTTGGACGCCGTTAGCCACCTAACTGATGGCAGGATTCCTGACTTTGGGCGTTCGTTCATTTATTCACCCAATATTAAGTGCCTTCTAATAGTAAGTGCTGATCACTACGGTAAATGGAGGGGCCACATTCATCAACAAAACGGATGTGGCCGCTGCGAGCCTTGAAGGGTTCCTGTCTAGCAGTTGGGAGAGGTGGTAACCACAGCGTCACATGCATAGATGTACAATTACAAACAGTCATGCCCGTGGCATCACGAGAATGATAACAAGGAGGATTGCTTTCGTCTCCTGGGTCAGAGAAGGTTCCCGGAGGAAGTGAGGATCGAGCGGACCAGAAGTTAACCAGGTGAAGGTGGGAGGGAAGGGTTTCCTAGGCAGCAGAAATGGCACAAGCAAAGGTCCTGTGGAGAGAGGCCAAAGGTTAGAGAGATGGAGTGTTTGCGAGGGCACAGCACAGAGCGAGGTGCAGAGTAGGTGTTCCGTGAATACTCATAGAATGCATGACTGGGTGTTTGGGGTGATATTTTATTTTATTAAAAATGTTTTTTAACGTTTATTATTTTTGAGAGAGAGAGAATGACAGCGCGTAAGCAGGGGAGAGGCAGAGAGAGAGGGAGACCGAATCCAAAGCAAGGCTCCAGGCTGTGAGCACAGAGCCCCACACCGGACTCGAACCCATGAACCATGAGATCATGACCTGACTGAGCCACCCCGGTGCCCCTTGGGGTGATATTTTAGACCAGGGATTGGCAAACGACAGTCCTCGGGCCAAATTTGGCTGGCCACATGTTTTTGCATGGCCCGTGAACAAACAATGGCTTTTACATTTTACATTTTTAAGTGATTGAAAAAAAGTCAAAGAATAATATGTGGAAGTTATCTGGAATTCAAATCTCAGTGTCCGTAAATGAAGTTTTAAAGTTTTATTGGAACACAGCCACACCCATTCGCTTACTTATCGTCTGTGGCTGCTTTCGTGCAATCGCAGCAGAGCTGAGTGGTTGTGACACAGACCGCGTGAGCCACAAACCCAAAAATATTTACTATCTGACCTTTACAGAAAACCCTAGCCGACCCCTGATATGGACAGGGACAGGCTGTGCCTCTGACTGTCACCCCTTTTCTCGCCCCTCAGCCTGCCAGCAAGGAGTGGCCGTGCTGCAGAAGGAGCTGGAGAAGATCACCATCCCCACCTCCTCAGGAAGCTTCAAGATCAAGCATCTTGGGAAAGGACATTATAGCTTCCACAGGTGAGGCCTGTCGAACTCAACCCTCCGTGTACAGAACTTGTAGTGTCCAGGGGCCACCAAGACCTAGAATCACAGAGCCACAAACTCCTAAACTCAGAGAGGTTAAGACTCCCAGTCTAGCGTTGACCCCACCCCGAGGGGATATAGTCCCCCAAGCTGAGTGTAGAGGAGGCCACAGAAGGTGCTCACCATGACTCCCAAGGCAGGCGGAATGTGTCACGAACCCCAAAACTCTGTGCCAGGCCCATAGAGCAAGTAGGATTTGGAGGAGGGGGTTCAAGAGCAGAAAGCTTAATCTAAAATGGCTCAAACCAGAATTTATTGGCTCACGTGTCTGAGAAGTCTCTGGAGTAGTCTGGCCTCAGGTTCAGCTTGAGGTAGCCCCAAATGACATTGGCCCCTGTTTTCTCCTTGCCACTTCTCAGCATCGCTTCTCTTGAGGAGGTCCAATTCTCAGGTGGGGTGTCCCCTCAGAGATGCAAGATGGCGACCGGCATCTCCTCAGCACTCCGAATCCTGTGGAAGGAGAGCACTTTTCCCTTGAATCTCAAGCAAAAACACTAAGACTCTCACTCTGATCGTCCCACCTTAGGTTACGTACACGTCCCTGAACCAATCACTGTGGCCAGGGGATACCCTACACTAACTAGCTCACGCCCAAGTCAAAAGCTCCACCCTGTGAACATGGAAAGTCAACTTCCTTTGCAGTGACATGGAGTAGCTGTGTGGAGCCCCAAAGGAAAAAGGAAGTTCTGTTACCACAAGAAGGGAGTGTGGGTGCCGGGCAGAAAACCCATAAATGTCCACTACAGAATTTTATACACCTATTCACTCAACAGATATTTTTGAGCACCTACTATGTGTCTGACACAACAGGCTTGGCTACAACAGTGAACCAAGAGAAACACATTCCACCCTTTCATAGAACTTGCAGTCAGGCGAGATTACATCTGTTATCCTCGCTGATGGTCACACTTCCCGCAAGATGGAGGTTATTGTGCCCAGAAAACTGAGCCTCAGGATGATCAAGTGACATACTCAGGGTCACACAACAGTACACTGAGGAACGGGGTTCAAATGCAGATTTGTCTGACGTTAAAGCCTGCCACTCTGCCCAATGCCCACAGAGTTTCCAAGGTGGCTTTCTTAGTTTCCGGGTTCTTCTGCAGTGGATGTGGTGAAGGGCTGGGGGTGGGTTGAGTCTGCACTAACCATTAACTGAGTTCTTGTGTGGGCCCCCAGGAGGCTAACTGAGCATTTCTTCTTCACAGCATGGCTATCCGTGGATTCCAGCTTCCCAGTTCCCAGATAAAACTAGCTCCCAGTGAGGGCCTCGATCTCTCCATCGCAAACGCCAATGTCAAGATGAGTGGAAAATGGAAGGCACGAAAGAACTTCATGTGCGTTTCCAACCTTGGTGTTGACTGAGTGTGTGGGTGAGCTTTAGGTGATACTTGGAAGGGGTAAGGGCCAGGACCTCAGGAACACTCAATTTTTGCCTTACCCATCACCACTTGTGCCCACAGGGCTCCTGGGGGGGATTTTTCATGTGTGAAAATTCAACATAGCCCCTGGTTAATAGCTGAGCATTTGTCCGTGTCACAACGCAAGACATTGACAAGATTGAGTTTGGTACGTGAAGCGTAGGATGGAAGGCTAAGCGGGACCTATAATTTACCCCTTTATCAGTTAGCTATGGCCGTGTAACAAAACACCCCAACTCAGCTGCTGAAAACAATAGTCATATATTATCACTATGTATCTGTGTGTTAGCTGGGGTTCCGCTGATCTGGGATGGGCTCAGCTGAGGCAGCCCTTCTCCACACGTATCTCTTCGTCCTCCTCCTTAGACCTGTGGGCTACTCAAAGCATGTCCTCGGTGGTGGCAGACATGCGAAAAGGGCAACCAGAAACATTCTAAGGTCTAGAATTAGCCCGTGGTCACTTCTACTCACTTTTACTCACTTACGCCATTGGCCAAAGTAAGTCACGTGGCCAAGCCCAAAGGCAAGAGCCTGGAAATGCATGCACCTCCCCCCCAAGATAGGCAAAGGAATGGAAAATTGGGGCAAATCATCCAAACCACAACTCTGAATCGAAATACTGGGTTCTCACCACAGTGAGCCTGCCCTCTAGGGGTGGCGACTCAGAACGACCAATCACTTGAGCGACTTTGTGGCGATTCCAGGGGGATCACGGAGGAGAGGACACTTTGGGGAGAGGGACATGAGTCTGCCTTCCTGTCCCTTCCCCACAGTAAACATCGCTTAGTTCTTCGCGTGGGCTCTTTTGCATCTATCATTTCACTCGCTGATGGCACAAAAGGTAACAGTACTTCATTATGTTAAAGGAGAGTTGGCAAACACCCTCACGTCCACCGTCTTACCCCAAACTTGTTCCATCCCTGAAGGAGGAGCTATTGACCCCATTTCATGAATGAGGACGTTAATTAGTGAAAGTCTCCAAACATGCAGATTCTTAGGGACAAAGCCGGTGATCAACGGCCGGTCAAGGGTCTGGGCGAGGAAACTGGAAATCAGAGCAGTTGAGAAACATACCCAAAGCTACTCAGCAAGGGCAGAGGCAAGGGGAGAGAGCAGCGTTCTGCCAGGCAGACACAGATCCACGCGTCCCTCCATGCTGTGTGACCTCGGGCAGGCGGCCTCCCCTCTCTGAATTCCATCTCAAGCAGCAAAACCTACCTTCCGGCCCAGGCTTGAAGTTTGAATGGCACTAGGGAAGAAACTGCTTGCTCTGACTCTTTGATCTGTGTTTCCCTTCAGCAAAACCAGCGGCAACTTTGACCTGAGCGTGGAGGGCGTCTCCATCTCGGCCGTTCTGAAGCTGGGCTTTGACCCCGCCTCCGGCCACTGCACCGTCTCCTGTTCCAGATGCAGCAACCACATCAACAGTGTCCGTGTGCACATCTCAGGCAGCAGCCTGGGGTATGGTCTCCTAGGGCCGTGGGTGGGAGGAGAGACCTTAAGAAACACTGCCCTGCATTCAGAGAACATCCCAAGTGCACCTCTTGCCAGGCCTTGTTCAGAGGCCTCCGTTGTAAGGGAGGGGCAGGGTCCGCAGACAGCACAGAGACCGCCCCCACCTCCAGGAGTCACTTGGTCACCCGACATTCATTCAACAGACTTTCCCTGACTATGCCCCGGGCTCTGGCTAACCCCTTGACGTGTGTTGAGCCGCACAACCCTCACCACAGATCTGTAGGCGTTGATTCACCCATTCAACAAATGTCCACTGAGAATCTGCTGTGCACCAGGAAACAGCAGTGGCCGATAAAGACTTAGCAATAGCGAACATCAGCGGGACGTCAGCTAGCATTACCGTGACCCAAGCGTGCTTTTCAGCTTGTGAATTGTCTCAGTCGAGCTGCACGGTGAAGTTAGTCCGTTATGGCCCCCGTTTTCAGAAGGGAAAACCAAGGCAGAGAGGGGATAGAAAAGAGCCTAAGTTTTCATACCTCGTGGGTGTTGAAGAGGGATTTAGCCCACGGCTATCCGGCCCCAGACTCCGAGCCACTCAGCCCCTGTTCTCTCGAAGCTTCCGACCCACTGGAGGAGATAGACGTTAATCAAATCATTGCATTAATGAATGATTCACAAAGGATCACAAAAGAATGTAAGAATTAAGAAAAAGAGGTACAAAGTGCTATGAGCACATAGAACGGAAGGGTCTGACCCAGTCTGAGGGCTGGCTGCTTCTTCCTTGATGAAATGACATTTGAATTGAAATGAAAAGAATAAGTAGGAGTTAATTAGGCAGATGTGGGGGACAGGGGCAGGAACAGCATGTGCAAAGGCCTTGTGGTGGGAGGCAGCATAGAACACAGGAGGATACTGCAGAGCAGTGCGGCTGGAGTGTCAAGGGGGAGAGCAGCAGCGACGAAAGAGGCTGAGACGGGGTGGGGCCCCAGCCGTGCACCAGCTGAGGAAACAAACTCATGAACAAGTCACTGCACCCCGAGGGCCAAGTATCTAATGGGGGTGTGCACAGTTAAAGCCCGGGCACGAGGGTGCCTAGGTTACTTGAAGGAGGGAGGAAGGTGTCCCAGATGAGGTAGCCTCCAACGCAGCCCAGGGACACCTCGGAAGCCTCATGCCTGTCCCCACATGTCAATCTCCAGGTGGCTGATCAACCTCTTCCACGAAAAAATGGAGTCTTCGCTCCGAAACAGGATGACCAGCGAGGTAAGACGGGCTCAGAGTGGGCGGGGCCCTCAGTACAGGCGTCGCTGGATCCTTCTGCTCTCGGACCAGAGGACTGGAAGCCGTCCTCATAGCTCTTTGAGACCTCCGGCTCGGCTCTAAAAACCAGTCGTGAGGAGTCCAGCAAGAGACTAAAACGAGGGTCACAGCACACACCCACAGAGCGTGCACTCGCCCCACGCCCTGCCTGGACCTCCTCTGCTCTTCCCCCTGCCTTCCTCCTGCAGGCAAACTTCCTTCTCCCAGCTCTCTGGCCTCCTCCCCCATCCCTGCCATTCCCCAATCCCCCCTCTTGGTGCTCCCCACCCGGAAACCACACGATTGATGAAGCTGCTAGGCTAGCGTGCCAGCAAAGTATCCCCTGGGGCTGGAACAGAAAAGGGCCACTGGCTAGCGTTCCCCAACCCTCCCTCGCCCTAAATCCACCCAGGCCAGCTTCTTCGGCTGAGAAAAGGGGCCATTCATCGGGCTGGTTTTCCATGAATAAACCATTAGCTGCCAGGAATGCCCTGCGCCTGTCTCCCAGGCCAAGTGAGCCGAGGAAAGCGGGAGCCACTGAAGATTTTAGTCAAGGGGGTGACCCGGCCAGATCTGTGCTTTGGAAGAGTTTCTGTGGCTGCTGTGAGAATGACTGGAGGAGCCAAAAGATGGGGCAGGGGACCTCAGGGAGCCCAAGGAAGCTGTACAGTCTTCTAGAGGGCCGCCACTGGGTTCTCGGTCAAAGGCACTGACAGTGGGGACAGGGAGACATCAGTCAGATCAGATCATTGGTCTGACGGCATTCTGTCCAAGTTGTAAAACAAAACAAAACAAAAGCAGTGCGTGGTTGTCAAAATGCGTACCACAGCAGATTATAAAATGGGTTTTAGCGGCAGAATCCGGCCCCCGGGTCTAATTCGCTTTGCAACTTTGAGCAAATTTCAGATCCTCGGTTGGACCATCTGCAAAATGG